AGATTGCCTTGCAAGCAAAAATTATGGAGCTCACAAATGGAAAAACTGCAGGTACTCTGTGTTTACTGCCTTTACAGACCTAAAGCTCCCTAAAGAGGGTCACAAATCCACAGGAGGCTCCTAAGCACGACATCCTGCATTTGGGTCACTGGTTAGCTGAAAAGTCACGTAGAGGCAAACAGCTTCCTCCTGACTATGTACTGGATAAATACCATGTGATGTGTTTATTCCAGGCTCCATATGGAATAAATAACAAACACTGATACAGATCTGCTGGGCTGTTAGAAGTTGGGAAGGCATGATACAGTGAGAGATCTGTGCTGGGTTGACAGGGAACAGGGAAAACCCTTGCTAGGAAAGTGTTCTCCCTTTTTGAGGAATCTGCTGAGTGACCCACCATCACTGCACTTCAGTGGCCTACAAACCATGTTGGACTCTTGCCTGCTTGTCAGTCTGGCCTGTCGCATGAGAATAAGTGAAATTGTTCTTTCTTCATTGTAGATAACCCACCTATTGCCAGAGGAACTCAGCAGGGCTCTCAGAATGAGCATGAAAATGGTTGCTTTCAGGTTGGCAGTTTTCCATATCTCTGCTAGTGTTTCATACTTTATCAAGGATTGAAGTCCGATTGTTTCAGAGAATATTTGCAAAGCAATGCATGGTTGCCCCCCATCTGTAGTTGGGATTTGATTTCCAGAAAGGGAGAAAGGACTCTAGAGCCGTGTTAGAAGCTGGTGCCTGCACAACATTTATCTGAGGAGCCTGGGAGACTTTGTACTACCTTCAGAGTTTTTCAGGAAGAGAGAGGGAAGGAATTTACACCCAGGGGCATGCCTGGGGTCCTGAAGATTATGTTAAGACAGTATCTAGCACTAGAAAATGTATGAAAATGTGGGATCTTGCAACTTGGATCCAAGCACAGCAACAGTATAAAAGTATCCAAAGTGAAAAGCATTTCTGATGTGCTAAACTCCTGGTGACTTTGAAGACAACATCTTGGATACCACCATACCAGAAAAACTTTTCAGGGAGGTGATGGGCTTCCTTTCTCCAACACTAGCCCAGTGTTTGTGTGCTTGTGGTTCCTGTGTGAGATACTCTTTCGGACTGATGTCCCTGCCCACTGTGGTTGGCTTCAGCTGTGGAAACAGGAACTGCTGAGTCAGCATGCTGATGCAACTCACACTGCTTTCACACATCTCTGGAGACACAGCCACAGCAAGGAGGTTGACAGCAACTTATATCCTGGAGCAAAAAATGAGTGCTTAGATTATCTTACAATTGTCTGAAACAATAATCTGATTTCTTAAAAGGTGTCAAACTGAAGGAGGCTACAGGACCCGAGCACTAGTTGCAGGTGAATCACCTGGCATACACAATCTCATGAGTTCAATGAATGTAATTTTTCTGCTCGCTTTGTTGATCAATTCAACTATGTTTTACAAAGCTGAGATGCAGCTGGCTGACTAGACAGAATAAGGCCATTGAATTTATCTCATCTGTCTGGTGATGATGGAAAACAGCAGCCTGTTCTGATTATAGACTCATGCAGAGGTGAGATTGCTCCCTTGGAGATAGTATAAGGCAACGGACTTTTAAAAAGTCAAATAACCCCTTCAGAAGGGTCAGGTCTCCTGAACAGTGCAAACACCAAGGGGTAAAAAGGTTTGGGATGGTTGCATCACTGAGAACAAAATATCCATGGCACATGAAAAAGAAGCCAAGGTCAGCTAAAGGGATGGGAAGGAGAAAGTTAATTGCCAAGTTATTTAGAAACTGGAAAGTGAATTGGACTGAAGAAGGTGGAGACGTTCCAGAGAGATATTCTAGTAAGAATGTAAAGAAGGTGTTCTCAACAAGATCAAAATGAACGAGAGCATCTTGAAGAGCAAGAAGATGGCAGTTAAAAGTGCCAACTGCTCAGAGCACCATCACTGTCAAAGCAGCACCTTCTCACCTAGAGATCCCTGGTCTGCTTTCATTTGAAGGAGGTCTGCTGACTTCAGTGCCATCGTGTCTGCGTTTCATTATTTTTTTTACCCTTATTAGAGAAATGAGCGTATGAGGTCTGATGCTTGTTTTGCTTATCTGGAGACTTGTTTGTATAAGCTCAGAGCTGAAATTGCTGTTGAAGGCAATGAGGCAGCAGAGATGCACATATGGATCACATGAGTATTATCCAGGCCATATCCCTGGGGCTGCTGGTGCTACCCAAGAAGGAGAGAGGAGAGTTTAGTATTACAATTGCAGGCAGGCAGAGACTACAGTGCTGTATATGAGAAATCGTTAGGCAATATGTACTTAACTCATTGACAGCAAATTAGCTGTGACAGTGACTGAGACAACACATTTCCAACCTTCAGAGCTACAATTTTAACAGGTGTACAGATGTGCTGATGTGTTAGAAGTACAGTAGCAGATGAGAAAAATAATCTGTATGTAGATAAGTGCACTCTCTTTCAGTAGATGGATACTGGTAACAGGGGAGATTACTGGTATCTAAGAAAAATGGACCACAAAGGTGAGCTAGGAAGAGAGATTACAGAAGACCCGGGTAGATTCAAAGCACAGCAAAAAAAAATAAAATGCAGCTGAACCATCTCCTAATGTGTGCTGATTGATGTTTGGGGGACAGTCTGTTTGGAGGGTCAGGGCACAATACCCAGATTCTGCAGCCTAAGAAAGGAAGTTGTTAGCATTTGCTTTTGCCCAGTGTCACATCTTTTGAGATGTGACATCAAGTCACATCAAGACTCGGAGTGACAGGAAGGCACATTTGCTGTGCCTGTAAGATCAAACTGTCACAAATACACATTTTAAAACAATTTCAGAACTTTTTCTGAGGGAGTGGACAGAAACCAGTACAACACGGTAGCTAGGAAAGCCAGAGCTGGAGAGGTGAGAGGGCCAGCACACATGCGTGCACAGATGCAGGCACATCAAGGGGTGGAATTTAGAGGGAAAGATCCAGATCTGCCTCGAGGAAGCTGGGGAAGCTGAACAAAGGTACTGGGAATGCTGACAGTAAATTTTGTTACTTGATATTTATTTTTAATGCCAAGATACAACCACACATTGCTCTAAGATAACTGTTCTGTCAATTTTAGTGCCAATTGCAGCCTCCCAGATTAGGAGTCCCAGACACTTACACTGCAGTTTAGCTCATCATGACCCAGGGAGCTGCGTGACTCTCTCCAAGGGCTGAGAGGTGAGAAGTTACATTGAAGATAAACAGAGCTGTAGCAAGCACTTCATCTGTCAGCAGGGGTTTCTCCCAGCGTATACATCTTCAGCAATTGTTTACAGGGTTAATGATCACTCAGGGAGGCAAAGATTACCACAACCTAAACCTTAATACCTGAACAAAGTGCTACAAGTAATCGATTGCCCCAGACAAAAATGTTTGCTTTGCTTAGGACTGCAGCTCACCAAAACATTGTCCAGCAAACACCACACAATGATGGAAGTATTGCACAAGTGTCTCCTTTTCTCTGTAGAGCATTTCAGATGTCTGTCTTCTGCAGACATGACACATTCCTGGAGAGCAGTAACATCATACACATTATTTTATTAAATTCACAGCAAATTATTTACAGCTGTTAGCCAAGTAGTCCCATTGGCTTGGAAAACCATCTGGGAAGGATGAGTAACCTGTATGAGTTACCCCATCTCTCCTTATTTAGCTTTGAGAAAAACAAACACTGCTACTATTTCCATGCTCTGTTACTGCAACACACACAGGCTTGTTGCTCGCGTGGAACATTTGCAAAACCCCAAAAAAGGTCTTCGGCCTAAAGCAGCGCTACCTCTTTTTAGCCACTAGAGCGAGCTGCTGCTCAACATTTGGATAAAGCTTGTGGGATTCATTGTGTTGCCAGTCATTTTGTTACACATGGGTAAAACCGAGATCCAAAAATTCCCCAGGAAGGATCCTTGTGATTCTGTGTCTGCCTTTAATGCTCATGACATATTTCAGCGGGGCAGGGGACAGTTTTCAGGGAACAGAGAGAATGGTGTTTAGGATATTATACTGAGCATCCCCATATTTGAAGCTGCCACCCCCCTTACTTGTCACTCAAAATGGATAGTGGAAACCAGTCGTCCCACAGTTAGTAGGCAGAATAGAGAGGTTACCCTATGGGTACAGCCCTTCCCCTATGGCCTAAACTTTTCCCTTAGGATGCAATTGCTGAACATTTATATTAATAACTGAAATACTTGACCATTAATAGTAGGTAAAAATAAAAGGGCAGCTTTTGCAATATAGTCACTAAGATTCTTGATGGCCACAGAGCAGGCCTCAGTGAGATAATAGGGACAAAAAAAATCATCCTCTACAAGTCCTTCACCATGGAACTTGATAGCAGAAAATACCTGTGGGACCCAACAGGCTGAGGCTAGATCCTTCCCACAGTAAGGAATAGTGCCTCCTCTTTGCTGCATCAAGAGTTTCTACAGGTACAGTCACGTAGGACAGTCATTTCAGATTTGTGCATGAAAATCAAGTGCATAAGCGTAGAGTTTGAGATACTTCTGCTGGTTACATGTAGCGTTACAAGAGGAGTCATTTGTGACCCTGCCAACACAAAAACTACAGAGCAGATATTGAAGCCAGCTTGAATGTTGAAGCTGGATACAGATTTACAGCTCAGCTAAAGCTTATTACACAGCTATTGATTCCTCTGGAATTGTATCTGTGGGTTACGAAGTCAGGCAGTTACTAATGCAGTAACATTTTTAATAAATGGCAAAATGCATAAAAACCTGGCTGACAGCCATTCAGTCCACCAGTAAGTAACACAAGTGTTTCTTTTTGGCAATGAAATGGCACTGAGAAGCAGCTCAGAACTGCTAAGTATGGAGCCTTACGTTTTATTATCCCTGCTCTTTCTCAGCAGGGACTGATTCCTGTCTGTGAAACTTTCAGAGGCTGGCCAGGTTTTGACGGTTAAGATGCTTTCAGATGCTGACCAGGGTAGCAAATATCTTCCAGATGATGTTCATCCTTGCTGATTTAATTCAATAAGGCGACCAGCAAATACAGCTAATGTTCCAATAACACAAACTAGCATAAATATACCGAGGAGAAGATGATCAACCACCATTGCAACAAACTTCCATTCTTCTGCAGCCTGGGAAGGAAACAAGGAAGGTGGTAAAATCTCTGCAAAGTCATGATGGTCATGGGAATTCTTGTAATTTACTGTCTTGAGCAACAGAAAGTCTTTTCCTTATTATTATTATGCAAAAAATTACTCATTTTTCTCAAAAGCAGTTCAGTGGTTCAGAAAGCCTAAGCTACCTAGAAATGCAAGATTCAAGATTAAACTGCTTAAAACCCCTGGTGATTTGGTGAACAATTTAATAAGAAATTGTTGAAAATACTAATTTTTAGTCAAATGGTTATTTTTTAAAGTTTAAAACACTGGAAACAAAATACTTTGTTTGACCCAGTTGGCTTTTGTTTTTATATTGCTTTTTCATTCTCTTGGGATACCTAAGCAACTGTCATCAGTTTGTACCTATGGTTCCTGCTTTTTACACCTAGCACACACTTTAAAGTCTGGGAAAACCTTCTCTGTGTCTCCCTTAGTCTTTTTTTACAGCTGTGGGACACTGTGAAGCACTTGTTCTGCAACAGCTTTTTCATGGGATGTTTTTGTTGGAACCCAGCACTGTAAGCGAGCAGAGTGTGATGTGCTAAGCGCAGTTGGGCTCAGGATTTCCACCCTACAGCTCCACCTTACAGAGTGACATGTTCTGGCATCAGACACACTCTACTTTTGCCTTTGTTGTCCCACAAGAAAAAGAGGCTGTCGTCATTTATCTAGAGGACACCAATAATCAGTACTGTTTTGAGGTGATTTGCAACTGGCAGCCTTCAGAAGCCACAATCTTCAGTTTATCTGGGGAACTTGACTTTTGAAACCCCCTGGAAGTTATATCAGTGGTGCCCAGATGACACAAGCAGCTGGGCTCCACTTCCGAAGGGAGCACTTGCTGGTAACCTGAAGACCCTACTTGTCAGCCTCGGAGGAAGAGAAGCCCCGAGGTGCTGAAGCTGCGCCAGCCCTGCTGGGGGTAACACGTTATCTGCAGAGGCAAAGGAGTCATGGGGAACATGAGACTTCAGCCAGAGCTATTCTACATGCTCCAGGAATTTCATCACAGGAACAAACAGCATGGTGTAAATCCTGCCCTTGGGAAGGAGGCACCTCCTTTTCAAGAGCACAGCCCAAATAATTGCCCTGGAGAACTCCCTCATCATCTTCAGGCTAGCCTGAACTCAGCAGGAAAGGTCTATGATAATTCAGAAAGGGGAAGTACCAGGGCTGAATTATCCATGCAAAAGCTATGCAAGATGCAATAACTGAAATAAAAAGGGGGGTTAATTGCATTGAATGTGCTGGAAAGAGGCAGAGCTAGGTTTTCCTGGGGAACATTGCCATGTGTGAATCTACATGCAGTTATCCTTCCCTTGGCTTGCAGCGTGGAAAAAGTCAGTAATCAGAGTAGCTCATGATGTGCTTCTTTTGCAGGGACTAACTGTAGCATTCAGGAATAAAATAAAAGCTTATCAAAACTGGAATTATAATTAGTAAGTTACATGTAACACTTCTCAGATAAAACTAACTAGCCTTTTGGAGTTTGGCTTCCTTCCTGACTTTTCAAAAGCAGCAGGAGCTTGCTTACCACAAGGGGAAGATGCCCAAGTGGGAGACAGGAGGAATGTGTTTTGGAACATGTTTACAGTTCCTGAAACTGCTCTGCTGCTCACAGACACTCTATGTCTAAGGCTTCACACACAACATTAAGAAAACCTTAGCACTGCCACTTTTTTTTTTTTTTTTTTTTTTTGGGGGGGTTGGGGGTTGGAAGGGGCAGGGGGACAAGAGGAAATTGCCATCTGCAGCTATTTTCTGTCACTCCTTGTTGACTGCACCAAGGGGAGAAGACTGTCCCCTGCTGAAGTCAAACCAGGGTTCTCAGTATTTTTTGTGAGGCTGAGATATTTCGCCAAATCAAAAAAAAAAAAGGGAAAAAAAAAAAAGAACCCCCCCTGATGTGGCAATTGGAAAGCAAGCAAAGAATCATGCACAAAGAATGCCTTACGTTACTGGCTTCTTGGTCCGACTTCATTGTTTCTGCAATGTACTTGATCCCCTCTATAGCATTTTTCACATCTGGATTTTTGGTAAGTGGGGAGTAGAAGTTGACAGGCACAGAACCTGGCTTCCCAGAAATTTCAGAAATATCAATATCTTCTGAAAAAATATTTTTGTCTTGTTTGTCCCTGGATGGTCGTTTCATTGTAGAGAAAAACATGATGTTTGGGATTGTGTCAATAAAGATCTGAAAACAGAGGGAGAAGATGGCAGTTGCTGGTGGTGGGACTGTGTTACAGATGCAGCTCTGTGCTGATCAAAGGCAAGTCTCTCTGGCCCCAGATTGCTTTCTGTGCTTTCTGGTCAGCCACAGATTCCCTCTCAGAGTGTGTCACAGCCCACGCCTCAGTGACACTGGGGCTTTTGTCAGCCCTATGTCCTGGGGCAGATGGAGCCACCCATTCTCTGAAAACCATTTCCTCTGCCATATAGCCAATATCTACACATGAAGGGGGGTGTGACATCCCAGAGCAGAGCATCAGCTGATGTCAGAGCTGTATCAACCTCATCTAACTTCAAACATACTGCTTACTAATCTGGCTTGAAGAATGGACTACAAAGGATCTCTTTTAGCTACTTATGTTTGACTTTGCTATTAAAAATATTTCTTATATGTGCATATAAGGCTTACAATAATTTCCTTTGGAGAAAGGGGGGCTTGCTGCCACAGCAATATGAAGCATGTGCAGAGTTTGCCTGTTGAAATCTTCCTTTTGCAGGTCTTGTTTGTGCTGCAGAGTGAAACTGATGTAAGCTGTATCCTTAAAAGTATGATCAGAAATCCACAGAACAATCTCCTGTTCATGTCATGGTTCAGTATGAACCCAGGCAGGATTAAAAAACAGGTGAGAATAACTGAATGGATCCCCTTTGGTACTGTCTCCACGGCAAAGAACTTCTAATGACAGACATCCAATTTTTCCCACATTTTGTGGTTACCATTTAGACTAATGTGCAAGGATATCCTAGCTTCCAAAAGATTGCAGAGCAACTGTATTTACTGGAAAACTACAGAGAAGGTCTTGGCTTTTGCTAAATTGCAAAATGGTCCACCAGGGCCTTTGTGCTCTGCATTCACAGGGGCTGGTGAACTTGGCCCCTGGCAGGCAGCAGTGTTTTGCAGTCAGGTGGAGAATTAGATCAGGAAATGTAATTTGAGTCCAGCTGGCCCATTTTCTTTTTCATGTACCTTTAGCTGTTTTCGTCTTTCTTTGTTCCCTGCAAGACTCCACCCCACTGGGCAATTTTGTTACTTGAAGGAGCACCTGAGCAGTCTTGCTGACTTTATGCACAGCTAAGTAGTAAACACTGGCTCTTGCACCTAGAGAAATTTAATGTGATGCATTTACTTCCTCAATTCTTGTTGACTTTTACTAGCAAACCTGCCAATAAAATATGGAGTGCTCAATGGAAGCCAGGAAACGTGCAAAGCTGTGGAGCTCACCTTCCTGACCCAGGGCGGCATGGTGTGAGTGCTCGGGGAGCGGTGGTGGGTGTTGATGACAATGACCGTGATGATGATGGAAGCGATGACAAACACCATTGTGAACAACATGTATTTGCCTATCAGAGGCACTGCACTGGAGGTGGAGGGAATCAGCTCCACAATGACCAGAAGGAACACAGTCAAAGACAGCAGGACAGAGATGCTGAGAGTCATTTTCTCACCTGCAAAAAACAAACAGGGGGAAAAAAAAAAGAAGAAAAAAAACAAACCAACAAAAAAACCCCCAACAATTCCCCTGCTGTTTATATTTAATTAAGACAGTATTTATCTGAGAGGACAGGATGTGGATGATGGCTATTCACACAAGTACTTGGTGTGTATCTAGAGTGCTACCATCTCTCCAGCACCCAAAGCAGTGAATGGGCCAGCCAACCTGAGAGCCTAACACAGCATCAGCTCCAGCATTAGGATGGGAATCGCCAGGCATGACTGAAGTGGGAGCAAAGACATGGAAAGCTTACTTGCCAGGAGCACTTCATAGGCTGTGAGTTTTGAATGATGAAGTGTATGCACCTGATTAATGCTTGCTCCACAGCCTCCTGGGGCTTTGCTTGCCTCATTCTCTGGCAGGCTCATGCTGGGCTGAGAGGGCAGATGAAAATAACATCTGACACCAGAGGTCAGTTGCTGTTTGAGATCTTCCAGTATGGAGGATGTCAAAACTGAATGACAAAACGTGATTCACACTTTTTTTTTTCCTATCCCATTCAAACTGCTATAAAGCTTTCCACAAAAAAAAAAAAAGAAAAAAGAAAAAAGAAAAGAAAAAATTTTAAAAAAGCAGCATCAAGTGATTTCATTAAGCTCCTTCTATGAAATAAGTCAGGATTACTCAGTGTGTCACACAAGGTAACGTGTGTGTACAGGTAACAAGCTCCCTGCTCTAATGCAGTGCAGAAGGGCCTGGCTCACCCCATGTGTTCCCTTTCTGTGTGATATACCAACACATTAACTACATAAATAGAAACAAACTAAAATGAACCAGCAGATCTTTGTTTTGCAGAAGTTTACTGAATCAGTGATTTCTGTGGGAAATCAGCCCAATTTATTTACATCCATAATTTCAGATTTCAGCACTTACCCTTTATTTGCAGAATGTTTAGAGCCGTTGTTTTGAGCTGAAATATACCAGTTTTAGTAAGCTCTGCCCTTCAAGTTGTCTGGTGATTTCAAATACTCGGATTTCTCAGAAGCTTGTTAGAAGAGCAATTCCTATGGCAGCAGAATCAATTCACATACCTGAATCTGTGGGTAGGTAGAAAACAAACCCGGTCAAAAAGGAGAAGAGCAGGCAGGGAATGATGACGTTCACGATGAAGTAGAGAGGCAGGCGCTGCATGAGGAAGTGGTAGGTGATGTCCAGGTAGGGGGTGTCAGGGCAGCAGGCGTAGTACACCCAGTGCTTCCAGCTGCGATAGTCCTTCATCACCCACTCCCCACTCTCCATGAAGTTACTCAGATCTGGACGATCACTCTCCTGATGGAAAAAAAACCCCAAACTTCTTAATATTTGACGTTCTGAACAAAAATAAGATCTTGGTAGTCACTCAGGATTTCACTTCATGCATTTTTATGAGCAAAGCGCTCTTGTCTATGTTATTTTGCCTTAAAATATTGTCCTTTACCCAGCATTCAACTAAGTGTTTTACAGAAACAGTCAGGGACAGTTGACTAAAAAGACAGATTAAGTATTTACAGATAGGAGACATACCCTGAGAAGAGAGGGATAGAGTCCTTTGAAATGAAAGTTACAAACAGAGAAAAATCACACCTGACAACCCCTGCCCCAAAAAACCCCAACAAAACCCACAAAAAAACCAGGCAGCACCATAAGGAGTGGTGTGAAGCTGTGAGAGGATAGACAGGTAGGAGATTGTTAGGGCAGGGCAATTATGCTTATGCAGAAATTTAAAAGCCAAAAAGGGATTTTTTGTGCTATATTTACAAATCAGCTGCTTAAAAAAATATTTATTTATTTTATTTTTTTACAGGTAATTCCTGTTTATTTTTCAGTCAAAACAGGGTTATATTCCATTCTAAATCTGAGATTTCCCTAAAAGCATACCCATGTGTTTACTCCTTTTCTCAATGAGAAACTCCAACTCCTTGCTTACCGGGTTAATAACAACCATTGTACCATCATATGTCCAGGTTCCCAACTTCATGCTGCAGTTCTGCTGGTCAAATGGGAAGTGTGTGACTATAATTTCACAGTAGCTTTTAAAAATAGCTGGTGGTGTCCAGGTGATCAAGCCTGTGTGCTCCAGAAGGACTTTGGTGTATTTAACGATGGCAAAGTCACCATCTGCACTGCAAAAGGGAAAGGACAATATGGGCAGAACAATTAGCACAGCCCCCCCAGTGCCATCAGGTCCCTCTTACTTGTTGTACAGGACAAGGTCTGGCCGCCAGATGTCATCCGAGGGGATGCGGATTTTTTTCACTCCACCGTAGTCATCTGGATTCCACTTGAGGTTGACATCTATCCATTGCTAAAGGAGGAGTTCAGCCACTGAGGGCCTCTTCCAGCACTTTTTGGGGTAATTTTCTAAATTCCTAGAAACATGCACCTCCCTTGCTTTGGGACACGCAGGTAAGCACATGCTAGTGGCGCCTCCAGCTAATTTTTTACTTTAACTTGAATTTTGGCTTAAGAAGCTTATTTTAAAAATTATAAAATTAGACCATAAGTCTACTGTTTGAAATAGAATGCAGAGTGCTTTTCTCAAAGATCCTACTGTCTAGTGCATTTTGTTCTTGAGATCCCTGAAGGACGAAATGCTCTGCTACCTGACCCAGCTGTCCAGGTTGCCCCTGGAAACTAACAGAGCAGTCCTCCATGCCTGGCTGTGTCCAAATGTGTATTTAAATGAGATGAAATGGTAGAAATATTTGGAGTTACCTGTTTCAGACGTACGTTGGTTGTTACAATCTGGTTTACTTCATCCTTAAAAAAAAAAAAAAAAAAAAAAGACAGTAGCAACAAACATTGGAATTAAAGAAGAAAAAGTATTTTCTCAGAACAATGAGACCATTTGGTGCTACCACATGAGGCAGCAGTTCAACAGGTACCACACGCTCATGCCGTACCACGCTAATCAGCTGGATGAGCTGCAGCCCAACGGTGACAACAACGGCTTCCCGATGATCCTCCACTGGGCGCACCACCTTGTTGTAGTCCCTGAACAAGTCCTCGACCAGGCGACTCTCATCTTCATAGCACAGGGCCAGCCCAGCTGCAGAACAGCAGGAGTAGCATCAGGGAGATGGGACAGGGGACAGGCTACAGCACCACCAGACTGAGGTGGGTGAGAAGGAAATGCTGTCAACTGCAAGTAGTCCTCTGTGTGACTCCTCGTTTCACATGTGCATTATGTGGGTGTTGCAAATACTGTCAGCAAGGATAAGGACCTATTTGACCCAGAGGTGAGCTTAGGAGTAAGGCAACAACCACCTCCAAACGGGAGATGAACAAAAACAAATAGCCATGACTGTGGACATCAGACTGAGCATGAAGAACCTCCTCCAGGCTCTTTCAACTAGCAACTGTGCTTACATGCAACACTTGTGGACATTTAAGTGCAAATACTCATAGTCAGGGATTTCTGAAGTTGTCTTCTCCACCTTCAGTTCCAGGGACTTGCCTGTAACAGTAACATCGTAGGACAGGGCTAACCACAGCAGTCACTGAGGTGAAAGCACCACCCAGGCTCCTTGCATCAAGTCTAAACAGAGCAGGAGCTCCTCTCCCCAGCGTGAGTCACTCAGGCTGTGCTCTTGGTGAGAGAGAAGGAAACTTCACAATGCAGCCTCACATTTCCCTCTCCCCAAGGAAGATCTCAGCCTGTCCTTGGAGAGTTCTGCTCACAGACCTCCCCGCATGACTCAGTAGAGCTCCCTGAAAGAGCCCTTCTAAGAAGGGCATCATGAGTGAAAATGGCAGCAGCAAAGTTGTTTCAGCACAGCATTAGTGGTGCATGTGAATGGCATTGTACTCCCAAGGGGTGAGGGCTCAGTTCCCACCTCCCAGAAAAATAGACAAATCCCATGTCCAGGCTGCCTGTTGCAGAACAAGCAGCTGAATCACATACCCAGGCTGTAGCTACTTCATTGTTACAGGGGAGTAAATCAAATGGAGGGAGAGCGTGGGGGTGTTTTTGTATGTGTCCTCTTGTAAAAGCAGGGAGAGGGAATAGAACAGCTGAGCCTTGCTGTAAGCATTTTTTGCAAATCCCATCCTTGCTTTCTCCCCCTCTCAGTCTGAATTCTGGACTACGGAAGTCAACAAGAATTTTACTGCTGACTCCAACCTAATCCAGGATTTCCCCTTGTTTCCTAACTGACTTTTCATTAGCTCCTTTTATATAGCTGAGCTGAGATGCCAAGGATTCTGTCCTGGCCTTGTCCTGCCATGAGATGGTATTAAACTACTTGGATGCCATTGAGAAAAGCTGTCTGCTGCAGACAAGCACTGCTCCCTTCCCCTGCCAGGAGGGTGGGCAGGAGTCATCTTATTTTGAAGTTATGATTACAGTATCATATCCAAGTCAAGCTCTTTGCTATGCTTTATTAATTCAATTAAAATCCTTCAGATGGCTACCTTCTAGTGTAGCTTGGTTGGAATTTAGTATACTACTTGAAATTGGTGACAAGGTTTTAGGAATATAAAGCACTTCTTTTAAGGAACAGTATAAAAAGAATTACCCTGGTACAAGATATGCAGCTACAAATCAATTCTGCTACCTTGCCAGTAGTCCCACAACTTAATTAAATTTCTTCTAATGAATTTTCATATTTCAAGCCATGTTCACTACATCCTTTCACACATTTTGAAATCACAGAATCACAGAATCTTAGGGGTTGGAAGGGCCCTCAAAAGATCATCTAGTCCACCCCCCCTGCCAGAGCAGGGTCACCTAGAGCACATCACACAGGAACGTGTCCAGGTCAGTTTTGAATGTCTCCAGTGAAGGAGACTCCACAGCCTCTCTGGGCAGCCTGTTCCAGGGCTCTGTCACTCTCACAGTAAAGACACTTTTTCTCATGTTTACGTGGAACCTCCTATGTTCCAGTTTGCACCCATTGCCCCTTGTCCTATCAATGGACATCACTGAGAAGAGCCTGGCTCTGTCCTCCTGACACTCACCTTTAACATATTTATAAACATTGATGAAGTTGCCCATCAAGTCTCCTCTTCTCCAAGCTAAAGAGACCCAGTTCCCTCAGCCTTTCCTCATAAGGGAGATGTTTCACTCCCTTAATCATCTCTGTGGCTCTGTGCTGGACTCTTTCAAGCAGTTCCCTGTCCTTCTTGAACTGTGGGGCCCAAGACTGGACACAATATTCCAGATGAAGCCTCACCAAGGCAGAATATAGGGGAAGGAGAACCTCTCTTGACCTACTAACCAAACCCTTTCTAATACACCCCAGGATGCCATTGGCCTTCCTAGCCACAAGGGCACATTGCTGACTCATGATCATCCTCCTGTCCACCAGGACCCCCAGGTCCCTTTCTTCTACATTGCTCTCCAGCGGGTCAGCCCCCAAGCTGTACTGGTACACGGGGTTGTTCTTCCCCAGGTGGAAGACTCTACACTTGCCCTTGTTGAATTTTATCAAGTTTCTCCCTGCCCAACTCTCCAGCACTAGATGTACATGTAGCACTAGAGTAAATGGGAGCATGGCAAAAAGATGACAGGGAAAAACAAACACAAAACCTTCTCACTTCAAAATATCTGGTGTCTGAAATCACAAATATCTGAGTCATTTCCAATACATTCCAAAGCTCTAAATCAAATGATTTGGTGTTCGTAAAACCTTATCAGCAGGACAGGCTGCTCCCAGAACACGCATTCACTCACACCAATGTATGTGCCCTGAATGCCCAGGAAGGATCTGGCCCATGATCAAGCCCATGTCTGGAACACCTTTACCTGTGGAGATGAGGAGGAGTATGCGATAGACCTTCATCATCCTGGCTCCCTCTTGCTGTAGTCATATAGATGGAGACACAAAGCACCTTTCAGGTCTCTTCAGAGGAGGACTGTGCTGCCTGCTGCCAGGGTGCTGGGAAATATAACCACTGAGGTATTGATTTACAGCACCTGTTTTTTGGGAATGACAGCTGAGGGCCACTGTACCACCGGGTTGGAAAGGGGAGTACAATGTGTTTCACCAGCCAAGTATCTTCTGCAGTTTATAGAAGGTTATTTTTTTCTAAGTGGCAATGTGATCTGTGACTTAATAAACAAATAAACATAGAAATAAAGATGAGAAAGAATTATCTGTGGGGTAACTGAACATCTCAGAGATACCCTTGGATGCCTCTGAGCTGGAGACCCAAAGCATCAGCCTTTGTGACCAGAGATTTGGAATTTTGTTTCTCTGATGGAAAACAGATTGCAGCTTTTTTTTTTTTTTTTTTTTTTTCTGTGCCCTTACCAGCACACAGACTGCATGCTGGGATGAGGCTGCTCCCTTTGCTGTGCTGATGGATGAAAAATCTTTGAACAAATACATTCAAGAGAGATCCATCTCCTTGAATCTACTGGGATTTTCAGAAGATTCTTGGTAAAGTCCACCCTTTGAAAGCTGTTAGCTAACCTAAGTAACCTGAATAAAGGGGAAAACCCCTCCCATAGATACCTGTAGACTTACTGGAATGTGAAAGGCGAGTGGTAGGAATTTGACTAGTTTCTATAGCAGGGCAGATCCAGTGGACTCCTGCAGGGCATGGTAGTGTTTGCTCATTATTGTCATAGATCACCTGGAAAAGGGGTGAGAAGCGAGGTGTTTGGTAATAATACTCCGTTATTCAGGCTAGCAAAGCAAATTACCAACTGCATAGAATTTTATATACATATATGAAAAAAAAGATAAACATAGGATAGGATTAGTTCCTCTGAGCTCACCGATATAGTTCAGGAACAAAATCTTGAGATATAGATGGTTCTGCGAAGTGCTCCGCAGCGTGAGAAAAGCAAGTCTGCCAGTTCCTAGGAAAGGAGATTAAGCAAACAAGAGAGATGCTGCTATAAATCCACAGTGTCCTGAGTACTCTTTGCAGTTCTGGTCCTCTGGTTTCAAAAGGAGACTTGGAAAAGGCCCAGGAGAAAGTGACAACATCCATGGTACAAACTCTCTTCCGCACTTGGAACTGATAGATAGTATGAACCTTCAGTTTGGAAGAGAAGCCAGAGAGAGAAAGACCTTTGGTAGGGTTTGTAAAATCCCAAATGGTCTGGAAAATGGAGACTTGGATTGACCCACTGTCTCGGTGCAAAAAGAGTAGAGGGTATCAGGGGAAACTTAGACACCTCACTGCCCCCCTTTTCCCCCCAGGTTTGTTATACAAGTCCCAGAAGACTGGGATGGTGTCTTGGGAAAATACTGCCTAATGCTTAAGCTCTCCTTGCACTTTTCCCTTGCTGCCACTTCCTGCTGCCTGGAGACAGGACATCACACTAGGTGACCTGCTACAATCATTCTCACACACTTTTCTGAATTTCCTTTTCCAGAAAACAATCCCCACAAAAACATTTCTTAGCTTTGTGTCTGGGTGACACCAGAGTACCTTCTGTTTCTTCTGGGTATCCTTTGTGCTGTCTGCCAGCTGGTTTGGTGTTTCATGCTAGATGCTTTTATTATTATTATTTTAATTATTACCTCACCCTCTCTCCTCCATTAACTCAACATTCACCCTCTGCATTTATAATTATCCTCCAGTAAAACCTCTCCATCTACATAACTCTGGCCTGTGCCTCAGCCAGAGCTCCCATTGTAGCAGCTATCTTATTTCAAACAAGCAGCTGGCTGCTTCCAACCTTTATCCCAGGCCAGGCAGCTGCCATGCCTAGCAGAGATACAATTGCATGGAAGTGTT